TGTATGTTCGACCAGGGTTAACTGGAGATGGTCGCATTTGCATATCAAACATACTTACTTTATCAACATATGATGCTGGATAAAATGTTACAGGTAAACGACCAGCTGGATTGTATTGACCAAAGATAATGTTAGCTAGTGCAAGTCCACCTGATTGTCCCGGATAACCAATCCAAACAAGACTACCACATTGTGTTGAGTCTCTAATATATGATAAATCAATTGAACTACCAGACATAATTACAATATGAAGTGGTGAACGAGATACTTTTTCAAGTTCTCGTATTAAAGTAAGTTGAATGTCTGGTAAAGTAATTGATTTACGATCAACTCCTTCACGTTCAACGGTATGATCGATTCCACCGAAGAAAATGACAATATCAGATGATTGAGCTAACTTAATTGCAGCAGCAAAATCTTTCTTATCATAATGCGTTATCCCACAACCACGAGCATGTTCGATATTGATTAATTTTCCTAATAACAACATAAGAAGAAAAACAAAAAAAAAGATTTGTTTTTCCATAATGTACAGGATGGCACATAAATAATTAGACGATTAAAAAATAATGTAATATCTATAGTCTATTTTAATCAATTGTGCTGATTTTTTTCTCAATGATAGAAGATTTATTAAAAATTTTATTCATAAGCAACCTATCAAATAGATACTGTTTAGAACTAGCAATCTTGATCTTTATCAAGAAATATATTATTATTTGAAAGTAACTAAACATGTGATTTAAGACATTTTCAAGGCTAGGTATGTGAAATATTTAGTGTATATACTACGTTAGAGATTTAGGTCAGTGAAACTAGGTTAGTCTTATTCGCTGAAATTGAACAAGAGTTATGATCTATGACAAAACTTCTCATTATGAGTTCTTTCAATAAAGAAAGGAGGAAGAAGCTTATGACTTGATGAACTAATCATTTTCTAATACTTTTATGTGGCTGTTTACTCTATAAATTTTATTTAGTTCCAGGAAAGGATTCAAAAGCTGCGAATATTCGAAATAATGATAGTTGGACTAAGTAGTAAGCTCCTCTGCTTCGTGATCTCTGTAATTCATAGTGAGAAGAACTATCAAAAAGTATAACTCCGCTTTTAGCTCTAGCTATCGAAACTGGGTCAATCTTGTTAGCCTACACTTCTAAAGTAGTACATACGCTAAAAACTTCAGATGTTTAGCGTTAAGAACGATACAGATCACAGAGAAGAATGGATAGTTCCAGCCAATAGTGTATTTATTTATTGAAGTAAAGAGACTAGTTCAAAAAAATACGTTTTTGACAGTTTTCTTCTGAAAAATAAATTTGACGAGTTCTCTATCACTGAAAAAGAAAACAAAACGACTCCATTCGATTTAAAGAAGACTCAAGATCTTGAATGTTTGTTATCGTCTAGCTATCTTTATGAGCCATGTCGTATATATCTTTTCAAACCTGTTGTTAAGTTTTTAAATCCTGTAACAGGATCAATAAGAAACGGAGCTTGTCCATGATAAATTCCTTGCATTGTTACTGTTGCATCTGACGTTGGTCCAATCAATGCTATTTTCTTATTCATCAATTGATCCATATTTAACGGTAAAGTATTATTCATATTTTTTAATAAAACAATACTTTCTTGAGCACTTATAAGTGATAATTGTCTTGCTTCTAATGTATCAACATTATTCTTATTCAAATGTCGATAAATTTGTTGTTCTGGTGGATCAAACCAACCGAGTCGAATAAGAACATCAAATGTACGCATTAATGCTTGATCAATATCAGTTTCAACGATTTTTTTTCTATCTAATGCTTCATGTAAATGAAATAAATAGAAAACACCACATTCAAGATCTGTACCAGCATGTAAAGCAACAGCAACTGTGTCTTCGACTGTTAATGTATAATGATGTGTATATAAAATATTTCCAATAGCTCCACAATCACTTACAACAAATCCATTTAAATGAAAAGACTCTCTAAAAATTTTCAAAAAAAATATTTTCTTTTATTTATTTATTATAACCTAAAAATATTCTATTATTACCTTGCAATTGTTTCTAATAGAAACTGATGAGCACAAGCTGGTATTCCATTAATTGAATTATAACTACACATAATACTAGCTACTTGTGCATCTTGTATACAAGTTTTAAATGATGGTAAATATGTTTCAACTAAATCTTGATCAGTTACTTTAGCATTAAAATGATGTCGATCTGTTCCATTCCAATTTTCTAAATCATAACCATCAAAATGTTTACAATTGGCAGCTATTTTTAAATATCGTTCATCATCACCACGTTGTAAACCTTGAATAAGTGCATATACATATTGAGATGTTAGAAATGGATCTTCACCAGGTGTTTCTTGTCCACGTCCCCAACGTGGATCTCGAAAGATATTAATATTTGGTGTAAAGAAAGTAAGGCCAGCTTGACCTTCATTATTAAAAGCACGTGCTTCAGTTGAAATAATACTTGCTATATCATGTACAAGACGCATATTAAATGTTGCACCAAGATTAATTGGCATAGGAAATGACGTAGCTGCAGGTAAATCACCACCGAAAAAAACACCTGGAGAATAAGCAAGGCCATGAAGAGCTTCTGACCACCATTCATATTTTGGTAGACCAAGACGAGATATTGCATCAGCTGTCGTTATCATATGAGAAATTTTTTCCACTAAAGTCATACGACTTATTAGATCGACAGCTCGTTGTTGAGATGGCAATGATTGATTACAGATGGGAAATGATGATAATGGACCTGATTTACAATCAGGAAAATTATCTGATTGACCATTAGTGCAAACTATTAGAGTAATAAATAGTATAAAAAATAAATGCATATTATAGATTCCCTTGATGAAACTGTCAGTATAACGTTAGAGAAAATGAGTTTAATAGCACACCTTGAGATAAGACAAAGGTATCAAACATGTCTTTGTAATCAAAAAATAGCCGAGCCCACAAATAACTTATCATTTAGATAAGAAGAGCACATTAACACTTTTCAAAAATGAAAAATTACAATTTTTTGTTAATTTTTCTATTGCTTCTCTTCAAAACAATATTTTCGTTTGAGTCTAAATAAAAATCTTTGACTGCCTCATAACATAATTGGTACATTGCTAAAAATTTGGGTACATTCACCATCCAAAGAAAATGATATATTTACTGTTGTGCAAATGTCTGATGGAGTTATTCTCATTCCGTCCTTGTTTATTGCACCATGCAATGAGAGAAAAACATTGAGTTCGGCATTGTTCCATCAATATGTGTTGGTTTAAGCGAACGGAAAACTATCGCAGAAAATTTTACACTTATGTAACCCAATAACAAGGTAAAAACAATATTTAACTCAACAAAAAAAGAAACACGTAAGTTACTCTTTGATTTCAAGAAACTATGTGAACATTTAATTTATAGCTTCTAAGTATTTTGACAAGTCCGATACGTTTTAAAGTTGTTCGTTTTGTCAATAAAAACCATATAGCACCGATAGATTATTATCTTTATTCTAGATAAAAGAAGATACAGGATTTTGTGTATTGATGATTGTAACATGATCGAAAAATCAAAAGATGAAAATGAAAAAAATGTATAATTCCATATTTCAAGGCAATTGAAATATGTCAAATAGCATAAAATAACTTCAATTTGAATTCATTGTCGTTTTTATTCTCTGTTTTTTTCACTGTTCTAATAATTTATTCATATTCTTACCTATGAGAGAAAATTATTTTAACTGACAAATAAAGTTTGCATCAAAATAATGTTCTAACTCGTCATGAATCTGTACATATATTTGGTTTAATAATTATTGCGAACCATTCTATGATTCCCATTTTCTCTCATACTCAGGTCAGTCATTGTAGATTACTGTAAAATGGTCGAATACGGACCGTATTCTCTGGTCAGAGTACTCAATCCATTGGATTATGTTCTCTTTTTCTCTGTCTATTACTTCTATACGTAGAAGTGCGTATGCGCAGCAAGAGAAGAACAATTTTCTTGTATGAAAAGTTCAATAATAAAGCAAACTATTTTAGTACGTAAGGATTTGCAATAAAAAGCACTCCTATATGAAACAATAAAATGTATACGCGAGCGAGCTCGAAAAAGTACAATTAAAAAACTAAAGCGATCGATTAAATACTCAGTTTTCTTCTCATTGTTATATATTTCAATTAATTTCATGTCAACATGAAGAATATATTTATTGGTAACACAAGTCAAAAGATTCACAAGTAAAAGTATGTAAATGACAAAACTGAATTATGAAATCTTCAATTATCTATTCAATGTAATCGTACATTGGAAACAAATTTCATTAAATAATAAACGTTATATTTTAACTTCATTTAATTATTTATTTTCTTATTTTTATCAGTGAATTAGTCAAGTATTAGAAAATAAAAACAACAATTTTTATTTTACGTGTCTGATCGGAACGAATTGAGATATAGTCTCAATCAGAGGAACTAGTGCCAGAGTTTGTTGGATTGGTTCGGGTTCGAAAAATGTGCACTTGACGGGTTCTGTCTAGGGGACAATCAATAAAGAATGGATCATCACGAGACGTCATAGAATGATCGATGCAATGTTAATAACTTGGCGGTAATTATCAGAACATATTGAATCAAGAAAAAAAAACGTACTTATAAGACATTATTCATATTCTGTTTACCCATACTTTTAGACGATAATGAGTCATCAATCATGTAAATATTCGAAAAAGGTCTGACTTCTATATCATTAAAAATAAAATAGTACATTGGAATAAAGTGAAGGTGGAAAATCAGATCGACGTGTGTAACATTTACCTATAAAAAGCGATCGTTTAATTCACTTAAAAAGTATTCAGTTCTAAGATATATATAATCATTATCAATATGCAATCGATCACAATTCTTTCTTGCGTAAGTTTATTAAAGATCTATACTCTTCAATATGACTCTATTTTTAGTTGATTCTTGCTGTAACGATTCTATCGGTTCATATGCATCCACATGGAGGAGATTCTGATCGAAGACCACCACCATTTCATAATGGTACATTTTTTCATAATGGAACTTTTCCATCATCTATGAATGATACTGATCATGAACGTAATGGTTTACGACCACATCATGGCAATAGAACTGAAGGAAATATGACATTAATGCCAGATGGTTTCTTTTCTCATCCACCCCGTGAACATGGAGGTAATGGTGGTCGCCGTCCAGGTATATTTTCGATTAATAATTTCGATATTATATCTATTAATAATGTTTTCTTTTAATAGAAAGATCTGGTTGATCATCATTGAGCATGGACTTTTCGAATTCATCTCTATTTTTTTTCTAAACAAGTTTTATTAAATTGGCTGTCTATTGTGTGTTGTCATAATTTTAAACATAAAATTCTGTTATTGTTAACTTTCATCTGTATGAAATTTGATTTTTATTTAATAAATCAAGTAGTTCATATTATATTGATATCTGAAGTAGTTTGAAAATAGTCTATTAAAATAATAACCTTTTTAGTTCACTTAGTTAGAATATTTTTAAATATAATAAATAGGTTAAATCAATGACATTGCATTACAATGAAATGATTATTATGCCTCGTTTTTTCATCAGTGTTCATCATTAAAGTCAAGATATTTGCATAAATTTACATAGATTTCAATGACGAGATTGAAACGATAACCATTTTCCATTAGTAGCTCGATTGCATCGATGAGTTGAGTGATATTTCATGTTAGAAACATCACTCATGGAACTTCCCAATGTTTCACATCGGCTTTGAGAAATCATTGTATATGCCTATTTTGTAGGTCTTGTGACCTACAAGATTGATCTTTTTTGTTCATTTCAAACAAACCTTCACACATGTACAATCATCATCTTTATTACAATCTTTCGTATCAGATACTCATATACAGTTGGTTATTTGTGTCTGAATAGCATTAAAACGCTGACGTAATCGTCAAAAAAAAATGAGCAAAAGATTACACTAAAAAGTAATCGACGGCTAACCGTACAGTTGGAGAAAGAAAAAAAGCAAAAGCGAATATCGCTTCTAAAAAAAAAGCCATATACTGATTCTTTTCAATATTCTATACTACTGCACATTAAGGTATGAAAAGAGGCAGTTGTCGTTTCGTTACAGAGCACTACATGCGATGTTTACACCATGAAATAACTTGTTTTTTTCTTTTGAATGAAAAGAAAAAGAATGTTTTGTTTTGTTGTTGTATTGATATGAAATGCACAAATATTATCAAGTTTCAAAGCGAAACGAGAACATAATTACAAATTCAAAATGAAAAATATAATCATTCATTGGAGAAAGATAATTAACGAGCAGTCA